CACCGCACCCCAGCCCAGCTCATCCCAGCCCAGCTCAGCTCATCTCAGCCCAGCCCAGCTCAGCTCAGCTCAGCTCACCATAGCTCAGCTCACCCCAGCTCAGCTCAGCTCAGCTCAGCTCATCCCAGTCCAGCTCACCCTAGCTCAGCTCAGCTCAGCCCAACTCATCCCAGCTCAGCTCAGCCCAGTTCACCCCAGCTCAGCTCACCCCAGCCCAGATCATCCCAGCTCAGCTCAGCTCACCCCAGCTTAGCTCACCCCAGCTGAGCTCAGCTCACCCCAGCTTAGCTCACCCCAGCTCAGCTCAGCTCATCCCAGTCCAGCTCACCCTAGCTCAGCTCAGCTCAGCCCAACTCATCCCAGCTCAGCTCAGCCCAGTTCACCCCAGCTCAGCTCACCCCAGCCCAGATCATCCCAGCTCAGCTCAGCTCACCCCAGCCCAGCTCACCCCAGCCCAGCTCGGCCCAGCTTAGTCCAGCTTAGATCAGCCCAGTTCATTTATCCCAGGTCAGCTACCCCAGTCCAGCCTGGCTTGGCTAACTCAGTCTATTTTACCCCAGCTCAGCATAGCTCAGACTAGCTCAGCCATCTAGTCCATTTCAGCCTAGCTCACCTCATCCCACCCCATCCTACCTATTCTACCCACCCCACCCATCCCACCCCATCCCATCCCATTCCATCCCGTGCCAGCCTAGCTCAGCACAATTCCAGCCTAGTTTGGTTAGTTTAGCCTAGTTTATCCCAGCTCAACACAACCCACCCAACCTAGCCTGTCCCATTTTAGATTGACGGTCTGGTCTAGTTCACCCCCATCCAGTACAACTCATTCCATCCCATTCTACCCCCATCCAGTACAACTCATTCCATCCCATTCCACCCCAGCTCAGTCAGCCCAGCCCAGCCTAGTCCATTCCAGCCTAGCTCAGCCCGGGTCATTCCAGTCTAGTTTGGCCAGTCCAGTCTAGATTATACCAGCTCAGCCCACCCAGCCCAGCACAGCCAGTTTAG